TATGTAAAATAAAACTTGGAGATTTTCTGAAATGTGGGCTATTTTGAGAAAGGAAGTTCTTATAATGAGCTGGAATCTAAATATTTTAAATATAATTATATTGTAGGCTAATAAATAGATTAGTTTGGAATATTATCTTGAGTTTTTATTATTTTCTTCATGTCTTTATATCTTACTCATCTGGGATGTATGATTCCTTCTGTTCAGTAGAAGTAAGGAATATCTGTGATGAGTTACCTTCATTTTACTTAAAATAACAAAAACTGTCACATTGTCTCATTATCCCTAACGTTTCTGTGATGTATGGAGCTGCCGTCATAACAGGGGCATTTGTGTGTGAGGAACACAGGTTTCCCACCCCAGAGTCACGTTTCAGATCCAGGTAGAAATTTATTTCTACTTGTAGTGTTCGTTGGAAACTGGTTTATTGTGAGCTCCTTTTGGATTTTAAGATGATTTATGGAGTCACCTCCTCACATGTATAGCTTATCAGTTGACCTCTTTGAGTTTTGTCTGTTTTTTAATATAGTTGTCTTCTTTAAGGTAAGATTTCAAAGAAGGCTTTCCAACATTGGAGATAAAATTTTCTGGACACAGCTTTTATAAGACTGCCCTTACTGGTTTTTAGGGTAATCTGAGACTTGATGTCTAAGTAATAACTTAACTATCAAGGGCATAGTAATTTTCAATCAAGGAAAGAAATCAAGCCACAAATAATGTCCTCAGATTTCCACCTTTACCTGTTTTATTTATGCATATGGTTCATTGTCATAAAATCTATATCAATAGTCATTTCTTTGAGACATACAGACATCATTAGAAGAGCCTGAGATTGAATAGAAATAAAGACATTACAGACAGCCTCCTGTTGGAAGTACAGATTTATTTGAGCAACTTCTAAGTGCCATAGCTTCTACTTAGCATTTTTATCAGGGTCTTTCTCAGACTTTCTAGGTATTGTAAGTGTAAGGTCAAATATTTAGAATGTAGTGAGGGATTATGCTGGTTTAGGAGAGTGGTGGTTGTAGGTTCTTCAAGATTCATGACTACCCTATTCTTGGGTAGCTGGCTGAGTTTCCAGCATCAGGCATGATTTTTCTCTTGTTGAGCAGACTGTAAGTCCCAACTAGAGACCTTCTGGTTACCTCCAGGGTATGTATGTGAGCCACCGCTATACCCTTAGAGTTATTGTGCCATGCTGGTATTTGGTGTGATTCAAGGGCACCAGGCCTGGGTAGGACTGCTGGTTATCATCCTCCTATGGAAGCTCTCATGCCTTCTGGTCCTATGAAAGCTGGGTCTCAGGAGGAGGCTTTGGAGCCTGTTCCAGCTCAAGGGCTTCTGAACTCTGTGCCTGCAATGTGTGGTGTCTTCAGCAAGAGGGACTTACCTTCCACCTCTGTTTGGCAACCAAGAGCGGTGGCAATAGTCTGTAACACTTTGTGAGTCTCTGACAGCCCTGACTAACACCTCAAAACAGGTATTCTCAGGCATGGCCTTGGGGGTTTTATTAGATAGTCTTTGGGTCATGGAAAGACACATGGTTAGCCTACATGTGAAAATTGCATTTATACATGGACTTACATGTATCACAGTTTTTGTTTTAGTTAATAGTATGATTCTTTATGGCTTTTAAAGACAGTTTTACTGTTACTTTATCTTTCCCTTCTTTTTTATTTAGCCCCCTCCCAGTCCCTAATTAGAGCCCTCCCCCATTTCTCAAGTCTGATCACTTACATTTTGCAAGTGACCCTTTATAATTTCTTTGACCTCTAGTTTTGTATGTGGTAGACTTTAGCAAGAGCTAACCATCTCCATTGCTCTCTCATGTCCAGCCTAGCAATTGCAGCTGTGAGGTTTACAATCTGTTTTTTTAAAAATTATTTATTTTGTGTTAGTGTGTGCACATATGTGGAGGTCAGGGGACAACTTGGAGGATTCAGTTCTTTCTTTTCCCACTGGTGAGTTCTGGTGAGTGAGCTCAGGGCATCCGGCTGTGCAGCAAGCGCCTTACCCACTGAGCCATCTCGCTGACTCTGAGGTTTGCAGTCTTTCACTCTTTTCCTAGTTTCTCCTTTACAGTCTTTAGAGAAATGATTCCCTAGTGTGCTTATGTGTTCTACACCATGGGTTCCACATTGTTGCTTCATAATTCACAGGCGCCTCAAATTCAGTATCCAGAATTTGTCATGTTCTGTTGTAACTCTTTCTTCATCTAGTGGCTGGCAGCACCCTCCATTTAACACTAGATTTCTTTCTACCCCTTGTATCCAGTAAATCATCTGATCCTGTTAATACCTCACCAAAATATTTCTCTAGTTCTCTCTATCCCTTCTGCTCTGCTTTCTGTTAGCTAGGTAACAATGTACTTTATAGTTTGGAATACTCAGGACTGTTTTTAGTTCAGGAGTTGAAGGCCAGCCTGGCAGCATAGTAAGCTGCCACCTCTGCCCTCCTCCTGCCTCCTACAAGCTTCTGTTATTCCTCTTCTGTCTTAGTTAGGGTTGTTATTGCTGTGATGAAACACCATGATCAAAAGCAACTTGAGGAGGGAAGGGTTGATTCAGCTTGTGCTTCCACATCATGGTTCATCATTAAAGGATGTCAGGGCAGGACTAGAGCAGGGCAGGCATCTGGAGGCCGGAGCTGATGCAGAGGCCATGAAGGGGTACTGTACTGCTTACTGGCTTACTCATCATGGCTTGCTCAGCCTGCTTTCTTAAAAACCCCAGGACCCCCAGCCACAATAGGCTGGGCCCTCCCACATCAATCAGTAATTAAGAAAATGCATTACAGGCTTGCCTACAGCCTGACTTTATGTAGGCATTTCTGTATTAAGGCTTCCTCCTGCCAAATGACTTTAGCAAATGACATAAAATTATCCAACATACCTTCTTGCCTGTTGGGGCTGTTGGATTTCTCAAATTTTCCAAGCTGGTGGATATATATTCATACTTCACCATGGCTTTAATTAATATGCATTTGCCAAATTCTAATGAAGTTGTAGTCTTTTCTTTTTTCCATTTCCATTCTTATGATACATTTGTCCATCACTTTTTAATATTATCTATTTATCACTTTTTACTTCTCTTCCTTTTCTTAATATTTTTTTAGAAGTTTCTAAAGGTATGTTTTGGAGCCTGGATCCATTTGTTTAAAGTTATATGTTTCAAATATTTGCTCAAAGTTCATGTCTTACTCTGTCCTGTTCCATTTTCTGTTGTTATTTGTGAGCAACTCTCCCACCTGAAGAGATGACCCTGTTTTAAAGCATAAGCGATGCAACTTATCTCCACTATCTCTGAGCCCCAATCCTGTGGAAGCCTAAATGTTGGATCCATTTGACAAATTTCTGTTGCAAATCGTCTAATGAATTTGATTTATCTCTTCCCTTCCGTTTTGGTGCACTGGGGATGCTGTGGAGACCACTGCTTTTTCTAGGCTCTAATAAGTTTTGCAGTCAAGATTCTGAAATTTTTCTTAAATTATTTTTTAGGCTGGACCTGAATATGGTCAAGGAATGAATCCCATCAGCCGCCTAGCCCAAATCCAACAGGCCAGGAAGGAAAAGGAGCCTGATTACGTCTTACTTTCAGAACGAGGAATGCCTCGACGTCGAGAGTTTGTCATGCAGGTATTTTTAGCTATCATAGTAAATATTTCTGAACTCAATGAAAAGATTGAGACATTCCCAGGGTGGCACAGTGATGTGGTGAACTCAGGCTGGGCATTGGAAGGATGTGTAACTATGTTTACACTGTAGAGCATTCTTTTTCGGCTTACCCATCAACTTGGAAACATGCTGGTGTCAAGGACATGTTAGATAGACAGCATGAGATTTGGAAGGGCCTGTGAGTTCACATGGGTTATTTACCACAGTTTATCATTTAATGTCTGTCTCTTAACTTTTCATGTTGCATTTTGCAGCCAGGGTGACTAACTATTATGATCAGAAACAAAGAGAATTAGAAACAAAATAAGAAGGGTAGATGTAAGGGCTGGAAATGGGCCAAGGGCATAAGGTTATGGAGCTCTCTGGAGAATGTCTGGCCTGGCCAGCTGACCATGGTGGAGACTGAGGGAGAGACCTAACTCTATTTTTCAGCCAAGAAATTTGAGGACTGGTTGCTCTGTATGAGCTACAAGTGAGGTCAAATCCCCAAGTTGCCTTGTTCTTATCAAGCCTGGACCGATCCATTTCAGAATGTCAGTTCAAGCCATACTCCTGGGCCAATGTTGATTCTAATTTCTTATTAAGAAACATATCCAAGGCTGGTGAAATGGCTAAGTGATTGAGAGTGTGTACTCCTCTTGCAGAGGACCCAAGTTCAGTTCTTAGCACTCCATCAGATAGTTCATAGCATCACAACAGGCAGTTCATGACTGCCTATAACTCCAGCTCCAGGGGGTGGGGGTGGGG